CATACTTGGACAAACTGGAGAAGACAGCAACAGGACCGACGGTTTTGGGGGGACATGGAGGTGGGGGGAAAGGAGGTCATGTTAACAAACTCAGGGACAAGGGAACAAGTGATCCAAAGTCGGTGGTGGGGAGGGTGTGGGAGGCCTGGTAGGGCTTGAGCACGGGTAATGTGGCCGAGGGGAAGTACTGAAACCCAAATGAAGGCTGAGCATGATAGTAGGACAAGAGGGAAGTAAAAGGAAATAGAAGAAAAAACTAGGAGGTAAATGGCTTCTGTGGAGGTCTAGATGCAGGTATGTACATATGTACATATACTTATTTATCACGAGGGGGGAATAGATCTATGTGCATATATTTATAGGTTTCGTATTAAGGTAGCAGATGGACATTGGGTCTCCACTCAAGTACTCCCTCAATGCAAGAACACTTTGTTCTATTAAACTGGTATTCCATGATGCTCACCTTCCTGACACGATCGCTGAAGACAAATGGATGCATAAGCAAATGTGGTGAATAAAGCCGATGGTGCCTGGCTATCAAAAGATAAAGCATCTGGGGTCTTAAAGGCTTGAAGGTAAACAAGTGGCCATCTAGCTGAGAAGCAGCCAAGCCCACATGGAAAGCACACTAGCCTGGGTGATCACAAGGTGTCAAAGGGATCAGGTTTCAGGTATCAAGGAACACAAAATCATATCATGGTGTGCTCACCTTCCCAATACAATCGCTGAAGACAAATGTTTGCATAGGCAAATATGGTGGAGAAAGCTGATGGTGCCCGGTTATCAAAAGATATAACGCCTGGGGTCTTAAAGGCTTGAAGGTAAACAAGAGGCCATCTAGCTGAGATGCAGTAAAGTCCACATGGAAGAAGCACACCAGCCTGTGTGATCACGAGGTGTCAAAGGGATCAGGTTTCAGGCATCAAGGAAGACAAAATCATATCATTGTGAATGAGGGGGAGTGCAGAGTGGGGGACCCAAAGCCCATCTGTGGGCAACTGGACATCCCTATGGAAGGGTCGCGGGAGGAGACGAGCTAGTCAGGGTGCAGTGTAGCAATGATGAAACACACAACTTTCCTCTAGTTCTTAAATGCTTCCTCCCCACCCACCCCACTATCATGATCCCAGTTCTACCTTACAAATCCAGCTAGACCAGAGGATGTACACTGGTGCAGATAGGAACTGGAAACACAGGGAGTCCAGGGTGGATGATCCCCCTCAGGACCAGTGGTGAGAGTGGCAAAACCAGGAGGGCAGAGAGGAGTTGGGGTAGAAAGGGGGAACCGACTACAAGGATCTACATATCACCCCCTCCCTGGGGGACGGACAACAGAAAAGTGGGTGAAGGGAAACATCCGACAGTGTGAGACATGACAAAATAATAATACTTTTCATGGGGGGGAGGGAAAAATGAGGAGCTGATACTAAGAGCTCAAGTAGAAAGACAATGCCTTGAAAATGATGATGGCAACAAATGTACAAATGTACTTGACACAATGGATGGATGGATGGATTGTGATAAGTGTTGTACGAGCCGCCAATAAAATGATTAAATCAAAAAAATTAGTAGTTCCTGTGTATATCCTGCAATAGGGTCCTTAAGTTTGTCCCCATGTTCTCACTGATGATCCTTATAATGCTGGAGTTTACATTTATGTCTCATTTAATCCAGCATGAGTCCATTTTTGTGCCTGGAAAACGACTGGGGTCTTGTTTCATTCTTCTGCAGACGCAAGTACAAGTTTTCCAGAACCATTTGTCCCTGTCGCATTTAATATTTTTTGATCCTTGGTTGAAAGGCAGTCCCCTGTAGGTAGACGCGGTTATTTCTGGGTTATCTATTTGTTCCATTGGTCTATGGATCTATCACTGTACCAGTACCAGCCTGCTTTAACTAATGTAGCTGTGTAGAGACTATAAATCTCTACAGATGCACATAGCCTCATCTTTCTCCCACAGAGTGGCTGCTGGGTTTGAACTGCCCACTTTCAGCTAGCAGTTCCCAGTTTATCTAATAGTGGCCATTAACTGAATGTTGAGTGAATTATAGTGAACCTGAAGAGGAATATTTGTAGGCTGCTTTGTATCATTGTAGAACAAGATTTTGGAAATTACCTACAGGGCTACAGATATATGAGGGTAAGTCAAAAGTATTGCTAACATATAGATGATCTTAAAAAAATAGCTTTACTGGCACATATTTCATATATCATACAATTTAATCATTCAATCAGATTAAGAATATTTGTGCAATCATCACCACAATCAATTTTGAACATTTTCTTCTCATACAGACCGATGATCTTTGACAAAGGGCGAAAACACACTGAATGTGACAAGAGAGTTTCTTTAATAAACAGGGCTGGCAAAACTGGATATGCGTTTGCAGAAGAGTGAAACATGCCTCACTCCATACACAAAAACAAAGTCAAGATGAATCAAAGACCTAAATGTAAAAGCTAGAACTACAAAGATAACTAATTAAAAACAGAGGCAAACTTAGGGTACCTAATATATCACAGAAATATATTGCCAAACACAACATAAAACACACAATCTAAACACAACATAAAACACACAACGGGATCTCCTAAAAATCAGACATGTATGTGCATCAAAATTTTTCACTAAGAGTAAAAAAGAGAGTACACAAAAGGGGGAAAAACTTTTGGCACCAACATATGAGCCAAGGAACCGATTTCTAAAACTATAGAAAAAAAACTCAACAAAATAAACAATCGAATTAAAAATGGACCGAGGACAGGACAGTTTGTCTAAGAAGACATTTAGGCAGCCAACAAACAAATAGGGCAAACAAATGAATAGATAAATGCACACTCTTGTTCCTTATAGCACTATTCACAATACCAAAAAGCTAGAAACAATGAAAATGCCCATCAGTAGAAGAATGACTGGTACACACACCCAATGGAACACTAGGCAACAATGAATCTGCCAACATATCATCAGATGGATGAACCTGTAGATATTTTGCTGACTGAAACCAGTCGCTCCGCAAAAGACAAACAGTACATGAGACCACTATTTTAAAAAGTCAAAAGAAGGTGTTTACACGAAAAGAACCCCTTTTTGATGGCTACTGAGATGGTAAGGAAAGTAAGGGAGGGAAAGTTATTGGCTAGAGGGTAGATGACAGTTAACCTGGGCAAAGGGAAAGGCAGTAAACTAAACACACACACACACACACACACACACACACTCACTCACAGCCATTGAGTCGATGCCAACTCATAGGGAAACTATAGGACAGGATAGAACTGCTCCTGTGGGTTTCTACAAGGACAGAAAGCCCTCTTTCTCTCTCAGAACGGCTGGTGGTTTCAAACTGCTGACTTTATCATTAGCATCCCAATGTGTAACCCCAAGGATCCTCAAGGCAGTATACAGTTAGAGGGAAACTATGACAGTATACAGTAAGAGGGAAAGGATGACAGGATGCAGTATACAATATACAGGGAGAGGGAAACTGGCAAGAAATGATTAGAGCAGGGCAAGCCATCGGGAAGTTGGAAGAGTTAAAGGCAACAGCGGGAAACACTGCTGTGGACATCATCTTACAATAGTAGCGATCTCTGAGTAGAGGCTGAGTTAGACCCGCAGACTGAACAGGTGTGGGAGGAAGACGGGAAGTACTCCCCGGAATAGACAAAGACTTACAGAGGGTATTTGTAAGTGTGTGTTTCCTTTCGTTACAATATATCCATGACTGTGGTGGAGCAGTCAAGGGGCAGTTACTAACACTTATATTTAACCGAACACCCGAGGGACTGAATCACTGGGCTGGGGGCTCAGGACCATAGTCGTGGATGACACCCAAGTCAATTGGCATAATTGTCACAAGACAATGCTCTACATACTCTTTGAGTGAATAGTGACCAGATCTTAAAAATGGAACAGCCATCTAAGGCACGACTGTCGCTTTCTCCCTATCCAGAGGAAAGAGGGATGACAATCGAAAGACATGTCAAAATCGTCTGACAAATCATGCAAACATCAGTCTCTATAACCCTGCGGTCAGAAGAACTAGGTGGTCGCTGGCTAATAATACCAATTGAAAGGGACCCATTAGAAGGCCCTAGATAAAATGAGAGAAAAATATGGAACAAATCTCCAACTCATAAAAACGTGTATGAAATACTGAATATAAAGCGGATTACCTGCTCTATAAAACCATCTAATTTGCAATTACACATTTTTAAAAAGTGTACAGACTTGGATGGAAGAGAGATGAGAAACGATAGTTTCATATTTTGATATTTATATTTAATAAAGATTTCTAAAATTTTGTATAATTATTTTTACTTACCTTAATATACTTAAAATTAAAAGAAAACGCTGATGTTAAAAGCAGGAAAAACACCCAGTTTAAAGATTACATACTCTTCCCACTCCATTTACAATAGACAGGTTTTTATAGATAAATCTTGAGACAAAATTCCCAGACTATACACTTTGCCAACTAAGTGTACAATCCAATGGTTATTTTGTGCAGTTACACAGCAAACATCACAATCTAATTTTAGAATATTTTCATCATTCTTGCGCAGGTATTCCTCATTCTCTCCAGTACCCTGTTCACCACTCCTTGCTTCACCAAGTCCCAGTCTACCAGAATTTCTGGGGGGTCAATTTTGACATACGGAGACTCTATGTGTGTCTAGATCGAACTGTGTCCCATATTGTTTCCAATGGCTGATTTTTCGGAAGTAGATCACCAGGTCTTTTCTCCAAGGCACTGCTGGGCAGACCTGAACTTCCAATCTTTTGGTTCGCAGCCCAATACCTTCACTTGTCAATTATTTACATGACCCAGAGGCTCCCCTTTACTCCGTGGCCATCACTAATCCACTATCTCTAAAGATGTCCCTATTCTGGACATTTCTTATCAATAGAATTATACAGTAGGTGGGACAGATGGCAACGCATGCGATTAATCTCTTCACATATCTTAGCTGACAAATATTTTAAATTACTTACACAATGACGCAAGCAACCCATCGGTATCTGCAATGTTTCCTACAAGAGCCAAGTAGACAAAAGCTCCTTCCTAGAATGAAGAAAACAAAACCACGTTCTCATGTAACATCACTGCAGCGCAGGAACACTGCATTCTGGGACATCATCCCCACGCCCACGCCTGATCAAAGCCCTCAAAGCAAAGCAACCGTACAACCCTGTGGATGATGGCCTTGACAGAAGCTACCCTGTTTCCCCAAAAGTAAGACATCCCCCGAAAATAAGACCTACTTACAGTTTTGCCTCTCGATGAAATAGAAGGCATCCCCCCCCCCC